AATCCATACTAGGAATGTGTACTCCTTTGCATTGAATAATAGAAGACTGCCTTGCAGACCTCTGGAAGTTATGAGAGTAATCCCACTGGAAGAAGTTTGTGTATGATGCAAGCAATCAGGGCCGCTGAGTTTTCTTGTTGAAATTTTCTTTAGACTTACACAGTGATTATCAAAAGCAGAATGTCCTGGAGTCTGTTGAGTCTTAGGCGTAGATCTGTGTAGACCTTCCTGTGCAGTGAGGTCCCCAAAGAAGACTAAAGCTAAACCTAAAACCAAACATCCAGAAACTACGTTTTATTAAGATAAAATGTAGACTTTTTTTTTCAATATGGAAATTCAAAGCAGTTGCATAAGAGGAAACAGATACGAAAATGTATCTACAATATTCAGTCTGTGTTCTTGGTGTATTTACAACTTTGGCTTCTGGCAATAAAATTATATTGTGTTGCAGAATGCTCTTTTTAGTTGCCTCTAGTTCCAAGGAAGTTCATTCTTTCACCGTTGAGGTTCGGCTGTCTGCTTCTTTCCCTTTAATCTTTAATAAGTTGCAGAAAAACTCCTGGCTTCTTGCGTGCACATCCTTTGGCCTGTAAGGCACTGCTGTCTTTGGGGTGTTCTTTTCCCTTAGCATGCACAATAACTCCCCAGGGAAGGAGCAGTCTCTTTTTCCCTCCACACAATCCATCTGGTCTGTTCTCCTGAAAGGAACGTAACATAACTTTAAAAGGAGCAGATCAGCTGCTCTCATTCATTCTGGGAATCACAGCTTTTTTGTGGGTTTTTTTTTGTTGTTGTTATTGCTATGATTATATTTTTTAAGTACATGTGCACTTGTTGACTTTTTTTGAAAGGATTTAACAAGTTGCCAAATGTCCTTTTGTTGATGGTGATGTGTTAAAAATTTCTTACCTATGTATCTTAGAGAAATGGAACATTGCATCTGAACCTTGTATTATTTATTTATATATGACCTATATCTCGGATATTTTGATATATATTATAATCTAATACTTGGATTTGAAAGATTAATGTTAATTATAAGTACTTAAAGCAGTTTGTTATGCCCTCCATATGTGGGAAAGCAGATTAAAGGGTGGGTAGTGATAAAATGATGAGATAGCAGTATAAGGAAAGGGGCTAATATTTCTTTGGTTTGTTTGTGAGAGAAAGCCCATTGTGTCGTAGAGAAGACTTGCTTTTTAAGAGGTAATATAGACAGTTTCTGTGTTTCTCTGGATAAGTAGTTTTAGAGTTTTTGCTAATCTTGGTGCTGTTATGCAAATAGTCTGCTACTACTATGATAGCACTTCTCTTGTTGGATGCCTTAATCACTATTTCTTTGCTGTGTCTAAAGGCTGTATAGGTTTTCCGCTGGGGAGTGGCAATCTTGGGAGATGTTTTTGTCCAGTATTTCACTACTGATTCTGTTTAAGAAACAGTGTAGCCCAATGCAGAGTTTCCTGCATGGTGGAATAAGTAATTGTGTTGTAGTAGAGTTGAGAGAAGCTTCATCTTAACAGTGGACAGACGATTTGATACAGGGTTAGCAAAAGAGAACAGATGAATCCTCTAGTTGTCATGGTTGTTTCCTATGTTGGCATTATGTTGTTTGCGAATTGGCCATTACTGCGTTGGTTTCATTCCTTCTCCTCCTGGGGAAAAGCTGTCATCAGGGCTTTTGTGGTATCTTGCCAAGGTTTGATGCATGATGTTTGAGCATCTTTTCACATTATTTCCTTTGAATTTGATGGAACTTATCACAACTTTTTTTATTTGCATTTTTATTTGTTGATGCAAATTTTCTAGGAGGTTTAAATGCAATTTTGTCATATGGCTGGAATAAATGTCTAGACTGATTTTTAAAAATGTGTTAAAAATGCCTACCCTTCCCTCTTTGTGACAATCAAATGCCGTTGAAATACATAGCTAGCTTCTTTACTCCATTGCTTTCCAGGAGCAAAATTTTTAAAGAGCAGCTCCAAAATTTAATTTGTGATAGAAAACAAAAACAACAATGACATATTGTTGGTTAGTAACACAATTAAAGACCAAGTTTGACTTACTAAATATCTGCAGTGCCACTGTCTGAAATACTTTCTACCATTTTACCACTCACAATAGCCTCTAATAATCCTGTGCCAGCTCCTCTTTTGTCTGCAATTAGCTATCTTGTGCTCATGGATCACCAGTCCTTCTGCTTTTGAACTCTCCACATGGAGCCTCACTCTAGTCTTTGGTATTAGTCTGTGTCTCTTCTAAATCTGTATTAATAAATCATCATGATGATCTGTCACACTCAAAAGAATCTAGCAGATGTAAACCCAAAAAATGCACATTTCCACATTTTCCAGCAGTAGCAATCAAAGAAAGAGGATTCCCATGATTGAAAGTGTGTTAAAATTGCACTACTCTATAATAATTTCTGACTGGTAACACCTGTGAATTTTTTAGTTCCTGGTTTACTTGAGTTTTGTAAGAGTACATTTAAAAAAAAAAAAAAGAGATTGTGGATACTATCCTGAAAATACTTGCATGAATTCGTAAAATTTCCCACAGATTATTTGATTTTCTTTATGATTTGGACTGAGCAAAGCTGCCTTTCCCTAAAGTGTTGAGTCACTGAGGCTGTGTAAGGACTCTCTCATTATTCTTCTTATCTCAGAACTGATTTAGAAAACTAATTGTATTTCATCTGTAAGGCTGATTATTTAAGTTTACCTGAAGGTTTTGCTTTGTCATGGTCACCATGGCCAATAATATGTATAAAAATTAAAATAAAATTGGACACTTTTTTTTTCCCTTAGAAATTAGAAAAAATACTTAACTGCTAGAGAGGGGAAACGTTCTTTTTTATTGGTAGGCTTTGTATTCTTGATAATTTTATGCCAATATTTAATAGAAATATATTTCTATAGAGTAAAAGGAGAGTTTACTGATTACTTACATCGCAAGTATGGAAAAGACTATTCTAAGGACAGTGGAAGAGAGCATTTGAAAATAGTTTAAAATGTGGTTGTGGCTGCGCAGCTGCTTTTAATGATAGTAGAGGATTCTATTCTTTTATGTTCAGATCTGAAATTTGTAGGTTTTTTTGAAACATCTAATTGTCTCTAAACTGTGTTTGCCTGTTGTTTTGAGTATTATGTGTCTTTAATAGTTACTGATTCAAAACTAGTTGCCTGATGATACTTTATATTCTTTATTTTTCTGACAAAGCCAGAGTAGGGTGTTTCAAGTTCAGTTACCTTGTAAAAGAAGATCCAGTTTATATAGTTTGAGATTGGAGTGTTAGTATGGTACTTCCGGTTGTTTAATAGAAGGTGGACGTTACTGCTGCTTAACAATTTGGGTATAATGTTTAGTACAGCAACAATAGATGATAAACTGAGTTAGTGTCACTGTTATCCTGTGTAGAATTATGAGTGTCAAAACCAGAATGAGTGTATGAGAATGGAAAGAAACAGATCCATAAGTCCAGTTATTAGCAAGAGCAGGTTGATAACTCTGCTGATAGATAGCTGTGTCCTAATTTGATTTATCTCATTATTTACTGCTTAAATATGTTGTCGTTGGAAACAATTACCTAGTAGAGATGTGTATTCATTATGTATCACTTTTCCTGAGTAGTACTGTTTGGGCTGTTTTAAACAAAAATTCTGGCTAATCTTAGCAAAAATTGGGTTGGCCAAAAAGTAATTACTTTTTTTTTCTGGGTAAATGAAAGGCATATTTTTCATGGGAAACAAAAAAGAGTGGAGCATCTCCCTTATGTGGAAAGGCTGAGGGAGCTGGGTCTCTTTAGTTTGCAGAAGAGGAGACTGAGGGGAGACCTCATTCATGTTTATAAATATTTAAAGGTTGAGTGTCACGAGGATGGAGCCAGGCTCTTCTCGGTGGCAAACAATGATAGGACAAGGGGTAATGGAACTGGACAAACTGGAACAAACTGGAACACAGGAGGTTCCACTGAAATTTGAGAAGAAACTTCTTCTCAGTGAGGGTGACAGAGCACTGGCCCAGGCTGCCCAGAGAGGTTGTGGAGTCTCCTTCTCTGGAGACATTCAAAACCCGCCTGGACGCCTTCCTTTGCAGCCTCATCTGGGTGTTCCTGCTCCGACAGGGGGATTGGACTGGATGATCTTTTGAGGTCCCTTCTAATCCCTAACGTTCTGTGACTCTGTGAAAAACTTTATTAAACAGTAATTGTTTACAAAGTAGTGCACTTTCCTGTTTTTAAACTGTCAGCTGTCAAGTTACACAATGAATTTGTGGTTTAAAATGAAGTGAGTTACCTATCAAGACATAGAATCATGGAATGGTTTGGGCTGAGAAGGGACCTTAAAGATCATCCAGTCCAACCCCCCTGCCTTGGGCAGGGACACTTCCCACTAGACCACGTTGCTCAAAGCCCCAACCAACCTGGCCTTGAACACTTCCCGACTTTTTCAGCTTGTCCCCACAGGGGAGGTGCTCCAGCCCTCTGGTCATCTTTGTGGCCCTAATAAAAATAGAAGGTGCTGTTGTACCTGTGCTAAAGACATTTGTAATATTATATTCTATACAAGCATAATAAGATGATTGTAGGATGCAAAGTAACAGTGCATTATAGTACAAGCTACTGAAGGAATCTCTATTGCACTTTCATCTGGGGCCACTGCATAGTAAATCTAGCATGGAACTGTCCTTTCTTTTTAGTTTCCTTTAGCACATACCAGAAACATATACTTTATAGCAGGCCTGAGAGTTTTTCTAACTCATCTCCTGTTTAATACTGTAGTTGCTCATGGGTATGGAACATATGTTAAATGGAGGACACAGTCAGTCTTTCTTGGCTACTGTTTGGATTGTGGGGTAGGAGGTGGCATGAAGAAACTGTTTTTGAGGCTATAATTGAAATATCTGTTTGATTTGTCTTTGATTTAATCTAATCCTCCAATTTAGTAATGTTAAGATTGTTTCCAAGTTTTTTAAGATTGCTTTCCATTGTTGTTTGCAGGTCAATAATGACTGACTTGTACTACCTCAGTCAAACAGATGGAGCAGGAGATTGGCGAGAAAAAGAGGCCAAAGATCTAACAGAATTGGTACAAAGGAGAATAACTTATCTACAGGTAAGAGAGTAGAGCTTTTAAATCAAGGTAAACTTTTTTTTTAAATATATATAGCACTTCAATATACTCTTGTAATAGAATAATTACATGGCATTTTAAGTGAATGTATATGAGTGAATTACATACAGAAGATATTAGAACTTCTGTTTTAAACGTTATTTTATGTGTACATGGAATGATAGTATTTCAAGCAAATCTTTGTTTTTTGAGTTTTCATTGTTGGTTGTTATAGTTTGTGGGTTCTTTTGATCTGTGATTTTCACTGGATTGTGCTTACGTGTTTGGTTTCTTTGTTTAATTATAAGAGATAAGTCTCTAGTTTCTATTTTTGATTCTGTAGAGTATCAGAATGCATACATATATTTGCATAGTATTAAAAATAAAAATGTGAAAGTCTTTGTATGAAACTGCTGATCAAGCAGCCCATTTTTAAAAATATGAGTATACAAAATTCAAGTGCTTATCCATTCCTAGACTATTTCAACAGATGTGTGAGACGTCTCATAAGTGGTCATATTTATGAGTGCATAAAGCCTTTTTTAATATATGTGCTTGTGTGTGTCTAAAAATCAAACAAAACTTGATCTGAAGGTTTTGGGACTTTTATTCATGTATGAATGCATGCAGCTATTTGTATATAGTGATCAGAAAGATATTTGATGTAGTCTGTTTTATTTGTACTTGGCTTGTTTTTCCTTGCATGTGTGCACCCCACCGCTCCTTTCTGTATGGTCGCTCCTAATGTCTGATCTTTTCTCTGCAAGCAGCTGAATTTGTTTGTCATATATTCATTTCACATTTCACAGTTCAGCTATTGGAACCTTCTCTTTTGTGACCAAGCTATGTATTTGTTGCTTGTTAAATAAAAAAGGACAGCCTTCTGTGGAAAAAAACTCTCTGTAAATCATGCAGGAGACATCACTTTGTTGTCTTCCTTCAAGTCCTTCTGGAGAACTGTTCCTCATTCTTTCACTTTTGATGTCACTGTTTGGCAGTTGTGTACTGTAACTACTTTTCATGCTAATAAGTATGGTCTTTCTCTAGTTCTACCCTTCTTTTATTGTTATCTTATCTAAGCATGTATACATTTCTGGAGAGAGATTGTCTTCCTAGTGTATATTTTACAGTGTTCAGGACCTTAGTTGAAGACTAGCACCTCCAAGTATGTGCAGTGAATAACAGAAGTAAAAGGAGTTTAGGAGACCAGAAGCTCAAAATGGAAGCATTAAATAAATGCTTACATTGTTTTCTAGTGATTTGAAATAAATTTACTTACTGAGTGAGTAGCTGGGAGCCCCATTAGCTCCACCATAAGTTCCAATATTTTCTTCATTACAGAGGAATGACATTGTTTTTTGGTTTGAATAAGTAATCACTGATAGATTATAGAAATTAGAAAAATATGAATGCATTACTGCTGCACATCAAATTCCGTGTGACTGTTTCACATGGCAGGATTTAGAAACTATACAGAAGGGACATCTGTTTCCTTGCTAGTTGTCTTTGAGGTTTAAGCTGAAGAATGGTAATACATATTTTCAAAAAAAATAATTCTAGCTTTGATAAATGTTGATACTTATAGCACTAAATTATTTGCTTTAGCAAATATGCATTAGGAATTATTTGAATATTTTATGAACAATATTGCCCTGGTTAGGTTAGTTGAAACATTTTGGCTATATTGGATGCTCAGTTTTTGTTGTACTAAAATGTGAAATAGAAATACATGATGAGCCTTCTCTCACTAAACTGTTCTTTCTTTCTTTCATATGTTTACTGTGTTTCTTTTTATTAATATCTTTTCAGGCTAAACATGCCTAAAATTTCCAATTATTCTTTATGTGTGAGAATTTATAATACCGTTGATTTTTTCTTTCTGATGTCTCCCCTTAACTGTAATTCTTCACCAGCCTATTAGAAGTGAACATCCACTAGTTGACAAATATTAATATACTATTGATTTATAGAATAGCACCAGAATAGGTTTTTTTCTTATCTTGCTTTTTATGCAGTCTAAGCTATTACTTAGCTAGTACTAGATCTCCCTTGAGTTCATGTCACTGTGGAGCTATTGAAAATGATGCCCAAGATTTTTAATTCAGCTGGCTTTTGAAACGTGAATGTTTTTTCTCCCACTATGCTTACTTTAAATTTAGTTATCAATACAAAAATTCACTTGTCATGAGTCATGCTTGTTTTTGTTAGTTTCTTCTGGAATTCATGACAATCTTCTCTAGACTTGACTAATTAAAACTTTCTTAGACATTTAATTTAATGGCTTTGCCTTTTACCATTTTTTTCGTGTTTCATGCATGAATGTTTTAGTTCCGCTGAGATGAGTAGAGGCCATTTCTCTGTGTATTTGCTATTTCTTGGTCCTTTTTATAATCTGCTTTTGATCTTTGACTGCACTTGGTCCCTTACTCCATGACTACTTTGTTTCTTTGAAGGTTGCTTGCTAATAGACCAAATAAAAAAAAAATCAGAAAAATCACACTGTAGCAGAAAACTGTAGATAGGATCCTTTAGTGCCTACATACGTTTATGGATGATAATTTATCTCCAGTGCATACTATTACCATCATTCATATAAAAGATTCAAACTCTGAGGCAAGGTCTGCAATGGTCTTAATGTCTGCAATGTTGTCCAAAGTTGGGGCAGAAACCTAGCCAACTCCTCAAAGAAATAAAATATTCTTTCTTATGAGTAGTTGCAGTCTTTGAGATGAGTCATTCACATATACAATTACTACCATTTCTGTTTTCTTTTTTATTCTCATTCTTCTGTCTGAAAAATTATCAAGGATGCAATCTCTTGCTTACGTGCTCTAAGCCAGACATAACCTTTTGGAGCCCTTCTAAAGATTAAAATATCTCATGTCTTGAATGATTGTTTCAAGTAATAATCCAAAACGGGAATGTGTCTGTGACTACAAATTTGGAAGTCAAGTTGATTTATTTTCTAGTGTGGATTTCAAGATTTTGAACAGTACAGGTCTGACTGTGAGTATGCAATGTAAAGCAGTCCATGGTCTGAAATTATGCATATACACCTCTATTCATAATATAACTGTATGAAAAATAGAATAAAATAACATAAAAATCCAACAACCCTTCCCCCCCCAACTCCATGCCTCAAAGAACAATCTGGAACATATTTGGATTTATTTTTTTTTAATGAAGAATAAAAGTACTGTATAGTTTTCTTTCTGGTAAATGTTGAACAGTGACAGCTGCATTATTTTGGGACATCTCTCTGGGAAATCATTTAGCTGAATGATTGTGAATAGTGATGACTGCTACTTCATTTGGATGGCATTACCATAAATTTGACTTAATGAGGCTACATTTAGCTAGTTCCCTGTGGTTAGAGCAACACTTAAAAAGCTAGGAGCTTACATTAAGCAAAAGATCTTATTTTCAGAGATGCTCATTGTCAAACAAGTGAGGAGAATGTGCAAGAGAGGTCAGACATGGGCTACTGTAGTCCTGTATATTCTGGAAGTGGTGGAGTGAGTAAATGATTATAAGGCAGCAGTTTGTTTTCTTTCCCTTTCGTTCTTGCTTGTTTTTGTTCTATTTATTTTAGGAAGTCTGTGATTCAGCATGCAATCTCTCAATAACAGAATATTTTTACCTCCAGTTTTTAAAATAATCAAAATGTTTTGTTCATCTTTGAAGGTTAAAAATGTGACCATGTGAGAAAAGTTACTCAGTACTCAACTGCATCATCAATTATTATAGTCATAGTTTGCTATCTTCATGTTATTTATTTGGGGCTGTGTATATATGCAAAGAAAAGAAAGTTACTTGCAATACTTTGATATGAGGTTTCTGGATTTCCAAGTATTTTTGGTCATTTAATGTGTCACTTAAACTGTATTGAATTCTCTCTCTTTTCCTCCCATTAGAATTAATAATATATATTTTTAATAAAACTATTCATGCTAAAATGACAACGTGTAGTGGTTTAACCCAGCAAGCAGCTAAACACTCACATACAGTGAGTATGCTCACTCACCTTCCCCCCATCCCACTGGAGTGGGGAAGAGAATTGTGACAGTAAAAGTAAAGAACTCATCAGTCGAAATAAAGACTATTTAATATCTAAAGCAACCCAGATTTAATAATAATAATGGAAATTTATTGTAACAAGAATAGGAACAATGATAATAAAGCAATCAAATTTATACTCGGCTCACAAACAGCACCCACTGGGCTTATGCCAACAAAAATGCAACAAGGGAGTGGTAAGCCTCAGGAACCCAGATGAACTGCCATCATGAAGAAGGGAAAGGATTGAAGGGGCTGAAGAGGTGAAGAAGAAGGGGTCATCCCCTGCAAACTCCCATATTTATAGTGATTGTGATGTTTATGGGATAGAATACATCTTTATTGGTCAGCTTGGATTGTACCTGGATCATCTGTCCTGGATCACCTACCCAAGAGAGTCCTGGGCTCTCACTTCCCCCTCTTTTCTCTTGTGCAGAGAGGAGGAAAAGAAAAACAAACCCACCAACCCAAAAGAATCTGTAACCACAGGTGCAGGCGAAACCTTGGAAAATGTAAATATTGGCCTATTATCATATCAGTACCAGCACAAACCCAAAATAAAACTGTTGCTAGGAGGGAAAGAAAAAAAACCCAGACCTCTATCCCAACAAAATCCAGGACACAGCAACAACAGAAAAGGCTCTGAGCACTCTTCATGTGTGCAAAGGGATGTACCCTTCACAACTCTAAGTCTTGAAAAGTGTTAACTTGTATCCTTCAATAATTCAAATGTAATGTTTCTCTCATGACAAACAAACTGTAATGTGTTGTGGCAGTTGTAGTGTGCTCTTGGTGTTGATAAATTCAAACTGATTTGAAATGAAGGTAAAAGTAAATTCCAGACTGGAGAAAAACTCATAGAAATTTCTGCATCAGCATTTACTTTTTCTTCTTTTTTTTTTCTTTTTTTTTTTCTTCGTTCTTAATGGGGAAGGGAGGCACTAGCT